CACACCTGTACTCACCTGATAACACCTAAACACGCCCAGGACGATACAGAGAGATATCATTCACACACTTCTGCTGCTCGATGACGGCAAGCGCAGGCTCATTTCAGACCGTGTATTTAGAAGTTCAACATTAAGGCTAAAACATCCCATAATGCATCACTCTCTGTAGGAGCACATGTGACGGTGGTATGCATCAGAGAAATGCGTAAATGTCCTTTTAATTCAAACAAATATCTTCTATTGAGTCCAGAGTGACACACACTAACCTCCGTCAGTACATTTTCATCTTCAGACGTGTTTATGGCGTTACAGCAGAGTTCAGGTTTCCATGACAACAGTGGAGAAACACCAGAATCAAGAGACTCTTTGTGAAAACATTTAAACCCTGAGAGGTTAAAGGTCACAGTCTTTAGGTCAGATTAAGTGTATGAATCATTTAGAATTATTGAACTCTGACCTTTTGTACACAGTTTCCATGGCGATGAGTGGCACACTGATGCATTGAACTCGTCTCCTCTCTTTGTAAGATTTTACTGCTGCCTACTTTAACTCTTTTATTACTTTTACTCCTTCCTTTAATCATTCGTCTTCGTGCACGTGAGCGTTGTGGTGATGTATATTTCTGAAATAAGAAGCTAAATGCTAAAGCTAACAATCCGAGGGGTCATTAAGGCAGTGTTTGTGTACCAGCTGTGTGTAGTATCTACACAAGGAACCCGTCATGTTCATGTTCACACCAGGATTAAATAAAAGAACACCAGCAAACAAGACGTTTAAACAAACAACTTTTTGTAAAAAGAAAATAAAATCGTAGAAAATAAAATATTGGAGAATTCACGAAGCAGGGATCGTGTTTCACTCCTCTCTGTGATTTTGTGCTTTTCACGTACATTTGTATTTTCTACAAAGAATTTGTAAATAAAATGTACTCAAAGGAGCTGTGTCTATTTATCTGACTTCTTACTTCATCATGTCTGCATGTTTTCCGCTTGGATTTAGAAGGTAGGCGGTTTTAAGTCACCCCGACACGGCCATTTTGGACGCCCCTCGGTTTGCCAGATATGAGAGCAGTTATCAGGTCAAACCAACAGGTGTTGCAGCGATGGAAGTGGGCATGAGAACTGGTTCAGATTGAAGTGATTGTACCTGACCTAAAAAGCCTCTGCATGTTTCTAATAAGCTCCACGAGCAGAAAGGTGCTCAAACTAGGTTCAATATTGGAGATGCTTTTGAAAAATTGACAGAGGTTAGAACACAGAAAGGTTTACAGACCGATGCAGAGCTGGATAAACACTGAAGCTTCAGAGTCCAACACATGGCAACCTGTGTGAGCATCAACTCTAGAGAGGAGGGGGCGAGGGGAGACAGCTCTGTACAATGTTTAGAATCTGGACTGCAGTACCCATGATAAACACTAGGGGTCAGAGTTACTCCTCCTTTAATGCTTCAACTGAATATATTTAAAATAATTTAACCACCACACCGGTGCCTGCCTTTAAGAGGCAGAACCAGACCTGACTGGTAGATCATTGTACCTCACATTCTGGGAGTGTAATGTTCTGGATGATATTGGGCAGCAGTAGCTCAGTCTGTAGGGACTTGGGTTGGGAACCACAGGGTCGCCAGCTCAAGTCCCAATGCAGACCAAATATGGAAGTTGGTCTGGTAGCTGGAGAGGTGCCAGATTGCTTCCTTGCTTCCTGGTGCTCAAGGGCACCAGTAAGTGAGCAAGGCACCAAATCCCCCATCCACCACCAGCTCAGGCGGCTCTGTCACCCTGAGATCTCTTCATTAGTGCATGTCCATAGGATCCTGTTCGTGCATGTGTGTATATTTCAGCCTATGTGTGTCTTGCATGACTTACAGAGTGTAAAAACAGAATTTCCCCTTGTGGGGGTAAATCTTAATCTTAATATACAAGATACCTGTGCTCAAAGCTCAAATTTTTAAGATCTACGTAAAACAGAGGGTCAACATTAAACATCACCCATTAGACAGTTCTCTTATCACATATAGACACAGAAGCACACAAAGTAGGCGTACACCTGTGTGTGTAAGTTTGTGAATGACAGACAGGGAGGAGAAAGTGATCAGTCATTAACCTGAGAGCGTTTATTAAGTCTGATGAGGAAGCTACAGGTGAAAACACTGTCAGCTCACCTGAACGACCTCCTGATCAGTAACTATCACACCTGGACCAACTATCACAACTTGATCAGTTTTCTCATCCTGGATCGATAAATCACACCTGGACCATGTCTTCATCAGTGCCAGCTTCAGCAGGTGGAGTGCAGGTGGTCACTCTGGAGGACTCTCAGCAGGTGAACGTGATGCAGACCTTCAGCCGGATGAGTCCGCTCACTCTTGGGGTGAGTGTAAGACCGCTCAGGTGAGTTAAATTAAACAGGTAATTTAGTTTATAATGTGTGTGTGTGTTTTTGCAGGTGGTTCAGATCATGATCGGCATGATGGTGATTTTGTTTGGGATCCCATGGCAATGGATGGATTTCCCCTGCTAGTGGTGTATAGCGGTACCTTTGTGTGGGGAGCGTTGCTCGTGAGTCTTTAACGTGAATTTAATTTATTTAAAGTTTGATTTTAACCACACAGTGATATACGTTTACAAGATGATGATCTCAGTGGACACTCTTATGTCGGGCATCATAAAGAATAATATCAACAGTTTTAACTTAAACATTAAAAAAAAAGTTTTAAAGGAAGATTTAACGTCCATGTTTTACAATTCATTTGTTTCTGTCTCAGTATATCATAACTGGCTCCATCACAGTGGCTGTTTGGAAATTTTCCAGCATCTATCTGGTGAGTAACTTTGTATTTATCCACTCTGTCAGAACTTTTTCACGTTTTCATGTTTTTGTGGGACGACGTGTCTTCTGTCCTTTGTCATGTCCTCTGTCCTCTTCTAGGTGAAAACTGCTTTGTCCTTGAACATATCTTCTGCTATAACTTCATTTATAATGGCCGTCCTTCTGTCTGTCGACGCTTCACGGACATCGGTTTGTATAAAAACATAAAACATGACTTTTATTACTTGTAAAACATGATTGACTCTAAAGAAGTATAAAACACAGTTATAGATTAACAATCATGAACCACAATAATCATTGCAAATCTAATAAAGCAGATACAGATCTTCAGCTGTTCGTATTCTCCAGGTGTGATCCTGTCAGGTTCATGGGCACACTTTGCAAATGAGTCAAAAAGACACCATGAAATGGTGAAAACACTCAAAGGGTTGAATGTTCCCCTTACTGCACTGCAGAGTGAACACAGGCGGTTTTCTAAACCTCCCACTATCCTAGTAGTCCGTCCGTATGAGAACAAATGTGAGATCCTCAGTGTGACAAAAATACCTGGATGTCGTACTGATTCTGGAGAAATCTTCAGTCTGCATCAGAACAGTCTCTGAATCATAAAAATGTAAATGATCTCTTGTCAGCTTTTTTCAGACTGTATTTGAACGCTACGCTGTGGCGGCATTTGACGTCAGCTGGGCTGTTGTTTACTTCTTCATTCCAAGACTAAAAAACAGCTTTGCCGGTCCTGGTGTAGAATAACCACATCTGGAGGTCAGTCTACAGACTACTGTCCAACGCAGTATGTAGTACATACGGCATGCTACATTAGATAGTATTTTGTAGTAGGCGGATTTGAAAAAAAGTCACTGAATACAAATACTGCTTGTGGCCCCACCCCACTGCAAACTACACCCACGATTCTGGCATTAAAACTTTTACTGGGCAGTTAGCATCAGATCAGGTCATACAAGAAACGAGAACACCCTCTGCACAGATTTTAAAAGCCAGCAGGAAACAGAAATAAAACGTGTCATGTGTGCCTGCGTGTGCGTGTGTGTGTGTTGCAGGGTCTGGTTGAGGGTTTCTTCGGGGTCCTGGTTGTGTTCCACTTCTTGCAGCTGGCTGTTTCGCTAACAGTCATAGTGTTTGCCTCCTTAGCTACCTGTGAATGTACCTGTAAGGAACAGGTGAGTTCAAACAGACCCATTCATCATTGACTGTATATGCATATGGACGATGCACCTCCGTCTACTCCCGTTGTACAAACGTGAAGCCAAAAACCCCTCATTAAAACAAACACTGTGACATAAATCAGCGTGATAAGAATTATTAAGACAGAAACCACGTTTGAGAATTCTGATTTTCATACTTTGACCCATATCCCACCTGTGGCTCCTTTCCCGCATGTCATTCCCGACTCTCTCCCTGATTTCTGAATCTATCGACTGTACTGTTTCTCAATTAAAGGCACAAAAAGCCCTAAAAATACACTGTGTAAATACATATACTGTAATATACAGTCCATGGATATTAACTGTAACAAACACTGACATAGATATGTTGATGTGATGTTCTCTCTTTGTTTTTGTATTGAAGCTTTTAACTGTCTTTGTCACACCTGGAAGTACATCAATGGCTGCACAAGCTCCGCCCCCTTCCTATTCACCACCTGCCCCCTCTGATAAGCCCGTCACCCTACAGAGTGAGTTGTCCCCGAGATGCAGGAGTTCGTCTGCATTTGTTGTCAACTAAAAAAAAAAATTACTCAATATTGGGTATCAAGAACTTCTATTTTTGTTGTCAGATGTTTTACTTTTACTGGAATCATATCAAAGGTATCATGACAACTGTAAAGGCCCTGACTCACCAAGGAGACCGTCGGTTCTGGTGAGCGGTCGTTGCCCTAGTTTTTGCTCTGTCGCTGCCTGTCGGCCCCAGTTGGCCTTTTTTTGGCCAATTCCACATGTTTAGCCGGCGCGGTTTGGGTTAGGAATCTCTCTGATTGGCTGTTCAGCTAAACGAAACAGGAGAGCCAGTGCACAGGAAGAAATACGGAAGCGCCTCTTCTATCCTTGTTCCACTAATAAAAGACCCAGAGCTGACAACACCAGCGCCATATTCAACTTTTTATCAGACATCATTCTCCATTAGAAGTTCCTATATTACGAGTGTTGAGCGACAGCGGTGATAATATGGTCTTCTCGTATCACAACAACGGTTTATTTATCCACGTTCTTCTTCGTCCTCTTCTGGTTTCCCCTTTTTGGAATGACGATTACAGACTACCGCCCCCTGCTGGCATGGAGAGTTATTGCCTCTCTCGCGTGCGCAGGATGTATGTGGTGGTTGGTCGTCGGCTTTAGTCTTGCGGTGTGTTGAAGTGTCAATTTTTGGGCAAGACAAAAGGCATCGCCTGCCAACGACACAGGCGATGCCTTTGTCGCCACTATTTCTTTGCCGTCTGCTCGGTGTGTCAGGGACTTAAGAGAGAGCAGACTGTATCTCTGTTCACGCCATTGACACGCTAACGAAACACCAATAAAGATTATAGTAGACATTCCATCCATCCATTATCTTTACCGCTTTTACTGTGCCAATCCCAGCTCCTGGATTGGTCTGGTCACCAGCCAATCACAGGGCTGACATATAGACAAACAACCAGCCACACTCACATTCACACCTACGGACAATTTAGAGTCAACAGTTAACCTAACGAGCATGTCTTTGGACTGTGGGAGGAAGCTGGAGTACCCGGAGAGAACCCACATATTCACAGGGAGAACATGCAGACTCCACACACAGAGCGGCAGACAACAGTCTGTTGATGACGGCTGGATGTTTGACCTCCTACTATGTCTGGATGATGAGCTCAATGATAATGACGGCCCTGCTATCACAGCGAGGAGGATGTGGGTACAAGTCATAGTTGGCACCATGTGGACACAAGACCTGACCAGACAAGAAGCTGGACTGGATTCAATATTTGAAAGGCTTTTACAGAGGGCTGCAAGCCTGACGCCGAGCTGGTTATGTCGGTACACTGTGTTTAAAGGGGATATAGTCTGAAAAATCCACTTGTACAGTGTTTTTGAACATATATTTGGGTAACCTGAGTGACCCACAAAATGTGAAATAAATCCATCCAGTCCTTTGTTTGTGGTCTGCATAAGTCTTACAACACAGAGAAAAATGCTCAGTTTCTAATGTGCTCTCCTTGTGATGTCACAGTGGGATTCTGGTAAAAATAAATACCCTACCCTCCCCTGGTGTCTCCACCCATGGACTCCACCCCCAGACTAGAACAAAACTTTTGAGCAGGTCCGTCATTTTTATTCTCGCTTGCGAAGGAGTGACGTCTACTCAGGGGGGGCTCATTGCATTTAAAGAGACACACACACCAAAACGGAGCGTTCTGAGAGAGCTGGTTTATACAGGGTCACAAACCTCCTCTGGTGCTTGATTTATGTTATATTTTGACCAAAGCACAGCACAGATGTTTCATTTAGACCACAGGGGACTGTTTGAAAAGGGGGAGAAGGGGGATGAAATGTCCTCTTTAAAACAGTGCAGTTGCACTCAGAGACCTTCAGTGGGCCCCAAAGCGCACCAAACCGAATCCCTCCAAACAATGTTTCTCTGTGTGTTTCTCCAGCTTTGTTCTCCTTGTTTGTGTCTTTTGTGTTCGTACATTAACATCCATATAATGGTTTTAACTGTGCTCTGTTGTTTTTCAGATGCAGAGCTAAACCAGCAGAGGGAGGAAGAAGTCTGAGCCCACGGTTTAATCAGCTGAAGAGACGCCCGCTCTTAAAGCACGATATTAATAACTCGTCATATTCACCGGTTTTGAATCGCGTCCGATCCCTGAATTATATCCACTCCTAAACTCACCTGCTGCGCTTTCATTGGCTGGAGGAAACACACCAGCTCCGCCCAGAAACGTCCAGAGTCAACCAGAACAAAGCAGAACAGTAAAATCCAGTCAGAGGACAGAGTCTCTGCAGACACAGTCACCATCAGACATGTATGGAGGCCCAGAAGGGACGATGGAGCAACTTCACTTTAGGAGAAGTCTGTATTTTATTTTGAAGGAGGAAGCTGCTGACTTCATCTTTAATGACAAGTGAATATACTGTAAACATGATTAAAACCTGCACGCTACCTTCAGACTCTGCACTCAAAAACAAATCCTCCATAAATTAACACTTGTAAGAAGAGCATGAACATGATCTTCTGTCGTTAAAAATATTTACTCTTTTGAAATAATAAAACTGTTTCCTGTTGACTGAGAATATCAGCTGATCATTTATAAGCGGCGTCACAACATCTGTTTCACATGTGGGGATCTTTCCCGGCAGACGTGTTGCAAAAGTCCCGTGTAAACTGACAACCAATGAAGAGTCTCAGTTATATCCGAAGACTGTAGGACCCTGAGTGACGTCACCCGTCTGTTCTTGCAGGGGGCGCTGGAGTCCCATCGATGGCGGTCTCCATGCTGGAAATGCTGTCTCAGTCTAACTTTCAGTCAACCTAACGACAGACTGAGAGCTGGAGCTGAGGCGGGTTTTAAAACTCCTGATGAACAGTTACACCGCGCCCGCCTGTCAATCAGGTCAGCTACACGCCTTATTGTGAATAACTCTTATCCTTCGTCAAATCAAAACTGATGAGTCATCAAAACATCCACCCCTTGTACAGTGTGTGTCGATCGAGAAATGAGATAATCAGACCTATTTGTTTTTTTGAACCAGGCTGTAAACATGTTAATCTCTGCTGTAAAAACAGGCTTTTTAGAATGGGTGTGTATGTGACTTCCTGTGCTTCTGCAGCCAGCCTCTAGTGGACACTCGAGGAACTGCAGGATTTTACACTTCAGCATTGGAGGTTGCTGCTTGGGCAGTTCATGTGGTATTTTCTTATAACGACATGTACCAATGCTCCATCCTTCAGTTGTTCAAAAAAGACAAATGTTCTCTCTCATACACGACACAATGACTAATGCCTTTACATTTTAAAATCTGCCTGCAGTCGGTTTGTCTCCGTTTCAGTTTAATATTCTCATGTAAAAAGACTTGTAGTCGACTGCTGCTGTATCTGAGAGGAATAAAAGAAACCCATAAAGCTTGACATCCTCCTGAACACATGATCCTCTCTCCCTCCAGTAACACAAAGCTCTAAAATTAGCCCGGCTCTGTATTTAGGACGCCTGTGTGAGGAGAGAAAAGCCTCTGAAACGTTTCCTCTGACCTCACGGCTGCACAAGGTGAGCGCAGATAATCTACCAGAGGCTGAAGAAAAATGATCACCGCCGCCGTGACGCCTGATTATTCTACATTTTCACGGGCTGATGATTTTACGCGGGTTGTCATCTCACAGACGGACGATGTTTCCTGAGCTCAGAGAGGAGCAGCAGAGGGAAAGGAAGTCAGTGAAAACTGCCTGACGACACAATCTCTGCCTCAGGGTTTCTGTTGTGAGTTCCTCCGTCCTTTGGTCATTAAAACAGTCCAAGAATCGGCTTCCTGCAGCGGCCTACAAGGGCAAACACGCTGCAAACACCCCAACGATTAACATTCAGAGAAAGAGAACTGGTTCAGATAGAAGTGATTGTACCCGACCTAAAAAGCCTCTGCATGTTTCTAATAAGCTCCACGAGCAGAAACGTGCTCAAACTAGGATCAATATTGGAGATGCTTTTGAAAAATGGAGAGAGGTTAGAACATAGAAAGGTTTACAGACCGATGCAGAGCTGGCTAAACACTGAAGCTTCAGTGTCCACCACATGGCAACCTGCGTGAGCATCGACTCTAGAGAGGAGGGGGCGGGGGGAGACAATGTTTCTGTCCGTCTGTCTTTAATTAAATTAAAAAATGTTTTTAATCATTTTACTTTCCAGAAAATAAAAAAAATCATCTCATTATTGTCATTGGTGATGTTTAAAATAAACTTTATTTATTTATTTTCTTCACCTCTCTGATGTGTCTCCATCAGCTCCATCACCACCCGCTCCACTGACACCAGCAGAGAACCCATGCTTTCTGCGCATGCTCAGTTTCAGTCTCTCCCTCTCGCGCTCTCTCTCATCCTCATCCTCCTCATCCTCCTCCAGCAGCCTCCATCTCTCCGGATGTCCTCCTGACTCCTGCCCGGCCGCGCGGCTCCCTCTCCAGGTAAGACCCGGTTGTCCCTCCGATCCCTCCCCTGCCCTCCTCTCATCGATCACCCCGCAGATTATCGACGCTGATCGGGGCCGTGTTTACTCATCATTTCGCGGGGTGGAGGGGTGGATGCTGCCTGCCTGGATACTACATCCTCCCCGGTGTTTTCCGCTGGAGAAACAGGCGCGTATTTAGCCTAAATATGACCCACAGATCATCCTGTTTGACCCGGGTTATCCCTCCGGTCTGAGTCCGGGTTATCAGCCGTCTGGTCCGGGTAATGAATAACATGTCAGACGGTGTGCTGCTTATCAGTCCCGGCTGATATTATCTCGCTTACGCACACACACACACACACACACACACACACACACACACACACACACACACACACACACACACACACACACACACACACACACACTCACGGGGCAGCCTTGTGCTCCGTGTTTGGGCAGTTTTGCGCATCACAAGGTCACGGTTCTGATGGCCGGCAGTCTCCCAGACTCTCTGCCGGCCATCAGGCGTCATGTTCGGATAAAAAACTGTGTCAGTTGTGCAGCCTCACAGCCAGGAGGTCGTGCAGAGAAACGGGCTCTAAAAGCAGATAAAAAACGGGATGTTTCCGGGTTGATTAGTGGCTAACTCAAACATGATGACGTGGTGAAGATGAACTGTGACAGCAGGACAGATTTAAGGCTTAGGTAATGAAAACTACAGCTGTAAACATGCTTTGATAACACACACACACACACACACACACACACACACACACACACACACACACACACACACACACACACACACACACACACACACACACACACACACACACACAGAGGCTGCTGTTTGACCTGAGTCCTTAATGTGCATGAGTGAAGATCACGCCCGGAGCTGTGAGGAGGTGTTCACCTGAAACAGGAACACTGACAGGTGATTCTCTGCTAAATAAATGCTTTCATGCTCAATAGAATAATAAGGTAGCGCTGGATTGGCTGCAGGTATTTAATTATTGGAGAGGAGATACAGACACCTGTCTCCTCTTACCTGTTTTTGACGCACCGTGCACCGTGTGTGTGTGTGTGTGTGTGTGTGTGTGTGTGTGTGTGTGTGTGTGTGTGTGTTTAGGATTTAGGATCTGACTGTATCTTTCATTGGGCTCAACAGAAAGTGACAGCGATCATCGAGATGAGAGGAGCAAAATGTGGGAATAAGTAAATACCAAGGTGAGCTGGACTCGACCTAAATATCAACACTAACAGAGTGAACAGATTGTGGACATGCCTGCAGTCAGCATGCCAATTGCACGCTCCCTCAAAACTTGGGCCAATAGCCTAGCGGTTATGATGCGCCCCCCATGTATGACCTCGTCCCTCTCCTCCTCACGTCTCCTGTTCCCCTTCAGCTGTCCGATCCTTTAAACGCAAAAAAATCACCCAAAAATATAAAACAAGCGTCGTAGTCATGTGTGTCTTTGTGCTGTGTGATAAAACTGTCCATTTATTGTGACCAGCCTCGGGCACACCTGTGCAACAATCCTGCTGTCCAATCAGCATCTTGACGTGCCGCACCTGTCAAGGTGGAAGGATAACCTCGGCTCACAGATTTAAACACGTTTGTGAACAGAGAGGAATGTTTCGTGCGCAGACTCTTTAACTGTGTTTTATGAAGTTTCACACTTCCTGTCGTCTCTTCTTCTGTGGTCAGTGATGATGTCGACAGGAGCGATGGTGAAGACATGAGCACAGCGAGCCGACGTCCATGGAGTCGTCTTTTAACGCCGTAGAGCTCAGAGAGCTGCGGGGCGGGGTAGGCGGGCGGGGCGTGTCTCCGACTCCGCCCTCGTCCTCCTGGACAGCGAGCGCAGCGGGATGCTCAGTCCGCGGGTTCGAGAACGCCTCCTACCAGCAGGACGAAGAGTACGACTACCAGCAGGGGGCGACCGTGTCTGCAGGATGTCCGCCTTCTACTTCAGCGAACAGCAAGGTAAACGAGACACAGCGATGATTTTACTTTTTACTTTTTTATTTTCGGTCAGTGGTTTGGTTTCACGATCTCAGATTTTTTTTATGGTGCCAGATTGTTCGTAAGAAGCTGGCGTCCCCAATGGGTTTGTGATCGATTGATTTGAAGCCTCACGTTTGACATCAAGCTGCCACCATCTTGTTGCAGAAACGACCACATCTGGAGAGGGTGGAGCCTCGTTGCTTCTGTCTGTTGACGCAGTGTGTCTGATTTTCAGATGTTACGGTGAAGGTGTAAAAAAAAAATTGTTTTCTTTTCTCAGGTGGAGCAGCGTCAGGAGCTCTCTCCACGCTCATACGATGAGGAGGATGGCGGTGGCGGCGGTCAGGAGGAAAGTCAGGACTTCACCGAGTATAACCCCGCCGACGATCACTCTGCAGACTATGGCTTCATCTTCGCCCTAGTGTTCCTGGTGAGCGGGATCGTCCTCGTGGTCATCGCCTACACCATCCCCCGAGAGGCCAAAGTGGACCCCAACTCGGTGTCTGCGCGTCAGATGGAGAAGCTGGAGATGTACTACGCCCAGCTGGGCGCGCACCTGGACAAGTGCATCATCGCGGGGCTGGGCCTGCTGACGCTGGGCGGGATGTTCCTGTCCGTGCTGCTCATGGTGTCCATCTGCAGGGGCGAGATGTACCGACGCAGGGCGGCGTTCGTCCGACCCAAGAGGACTTATGGCTCCATCAACCTGAGGATGAAGCAGCTGGCGACGGGGGAGGACGAGGGAAGGGAGGGCGGGGAGGGCGGTGGGGAGTTTCAGGTTGAACACTCAGAGACAAGGAATCAAACCCAGGCCGGACCGAGCAGGAACCCTCCTCCTGCTGCTGCTTCTTCTTCTTCTTCTTCTTCTTTAAATGCTGCACACGGAGTCATCTAAGCGTCCTCTACTTTCACTTTGCAGCCGCCCTCTGAGCAAGCTGTAACCATGGGGGACGCAAAGCGATGCAAGTCCCCCGTTTGTGCCGACTGGAGGAGCACGTGTCGAGCGCAAGTCTGCTGGAGCGAGTGTGAGGATATTTATTCTGACCAATCACAGACTGACTTAAAGAGGCAGAAGAAGAAGAAGAAGAAGAGAGGTAAGAATGTGGCAGCGTGGGAACAGAGCACACTAATGAGATAAACACTATATCACAGTTTGAATATATTATGAAAGTGTTGAAGCACATTGTGTGCGACGGCGCTGCACGCTGCTGCAGAAAAAACTTTATTTATGAAGTCAAATGTTGAAATGATCTGTCACGCTCCTTACGTAGCTGTTAGATTAATGTGATGACATACTCCACCTGCTGCTGTGAATAAGTCTAGAAAGCGTCTTTATCGGGACATCGACACAGAGAAACGTTGACGTGTGCTGGTCGCTCACACACGGATAAACATTCAGAACGAGATATTTCACTCCGGTGTGACGTTTATGAGCTACAGCATCTGAAAATACAAACATGGTTAAACCTTCCTGAGAGAGATGGACTTTCAGTTTCTGCGATCTGATCTGTGCAATAAAAAAACGAAACAACGAGTTTTTAAAAAGAAGCTTTTTAGCGTCTTTAAGCTCTTTGTTTCGGTTTCTTTTGAGTGGAGAAAGTCCAAGACTTCATCTCGTGAAATAAAAACGTCATCGATCTACAAAACGAGGACTGACGTTTGATTTCAAAGTTTATTTTAACGTTTACTTTGATATCTACGTTATTTTACCCTAGAGGCCACCCTGACGACCACGAGCGAAGTGCGACGAAAACCGACTGCTGCGTCCTCTTCTGTCCGCCGCTGTCGAGCCAAAAGTCTAACTCAGTTCAAACGCCAAACAGCTCGTTGCTGATTGGTTAGTGTGGGAGAGGCGAGAACTCGAGGATACACAAACAGCGGCGTTTGAACACTCGTTCATAATTCTTCGTCAACTTACTGACGCTACATGAGAAAGGACTTCTGTGCGTCGACTCTCTCTGACCAGCCCTGGCAGGCCCCGCCCCCTGACGGTGGGCTCGGTGTGTACCTCCCCTAACAAAAACATTAGCTTGAGAAGTCTTCCTCTGCTGCACGGCCTCAGATTAATATTAGCGTGCGACCACAAAAGGTTTTACTTAATGGTGCTGAACACACCACCACGAGGTGCAGGTTGTTTTTGGAGCCCCCTTGTGGTCAAACATTGCAAGAGAATCTAAATCGGCGTTTATTTCGATGTAAGTTTCTGATTTGTCAGACAGCTTCGACTGCTGCGGGCTGTAAATGTCACACATGATGAGAAATGTTTTTCTCAGTCATAAAGACGTGAAGTCTGATTTCTGACGAACACAAAGATGTTTTATGATGAATGAACCTTTAATGTGGCACAGCGCCCCCTCCTGTGTATGATATGTAAACACGTTATTAATGTCTTATTATGCCTTAATGAGTAAACACACACACACAGTACTACACACACACACACACACACAGTACTACACACACACACACAGTACTACACACACACACACACACACACACAGTACTACACACACACACACAGTACTACACACACACACACAGTACTACACACACACACACACAGTACTACACACACACACACACACACACACACACACAGTACTACACACACACACACACACACACACACACACACACACACAGTACGACACACACACACACACACACACACACACAGTACTACACACACACACACACACACACACACACACACACACACACACAGTACTACACAAACACACTGTACTACATACACACACACACACACTCACAGCACTACACACGCACACTCTACTACACACACTGTACTACACACACACACACACACACACACACTGTACTACAAACACACACACACACTGTACTACACACACACTGTACTACACACACACACACACACACTGTACTACACACACACACTGTACTATACGCCAATATTATTATTAATATGCTGATGTAATGACATCTGTGAAACAGTTAACTGAGGGCATTGTAGCCACATACACACAGACACACACATACACTGTACTAAACACACACACAGACACACACACACACACACACACACAGACACACATGGACACACACACACGCACACACACACACGCACACACACACACACACACACACAGTTGGTGCCTCTGTATTTGTGAGGACATCGAGCTCTCGAGCTGTTTCTAAAAACTAGTTTTTATCGGTCAGTAAAATATTCTGTAAATATTCGGTGTCGACGTGTCGGATGTAAACGACCAGCAGAAGCTCACAAACCAAATACGCAGCGCAGGTATGCAAAACAGGAAACACCTTTTTTATTCAATGTGTTTTTTTTATTTAGTCGTGGAGCGTTAACATAAATTCCATTAGTTTGCATTTGGAACCGTTTTTGTCATGCTTTTATTTTGAAATGTTATCAGTATTGTCTTCGCTGAGTTTTCATAACTTCCTGTTTGGATACAACCCTGCTTTTATTTTGAAATACAGTAAGAACCTTCTGGCAGATGGAAGGTTACCACAGAAACAGGAAGTGGTCACGGATCACAAATAGATTTATTTAGTCCTGCGTTTTTTTAAATGTTTGATTTATTTTTTTCTCTAAAATGTGAGAACAAGTTCAGAACGCGGGAACCATTTAATGAATTAAAATTAGGACTGTCAAATGATTTATATTGTTCAAAATGTAAATAGAGTCTTCAAAGTTCTGAATCAGTGATCAAACTGCTTTAACAAACAGTCCATTTTTAGTTACTTTACTCTGAAAAGAATCTCATTCACAACGTGAGCACATTAAACTTCCCTGAAATGTTCTGCAGAAATCTGAGAAACGTTTTGATTTCAGCCCAAAGGATTTGACTTTGAGGTCACTGGGTGATCATCTCTCGGTGTGTTTGTGATCTCTGGAGCAGCAGGATATCTTTGTTGTGTTTCTCATCTCCACTGAGGCGTCCTTCAGGACAGAAAAAACTCTCCTCACAAACACAAACCTTTTCTCCTCCTCGTAAACTGAACCACATTTAGTCTCATGAATAAATCAGTCGTTCTGTGTGTTCACGTGACCTCTGTGTTTCTGCCCTCGGCGCTCGGCTGCGGCGCTACCCGCTCTGACACACATTTGCGTTTTTCTGACTCAGCAAATCCAAAGTGACGTGAACGAGCAGTGAACCCGAACGAGCCTCAGACGCTGTGTCTTTAAAAGAACCTCAGAGAGCTGCAGAGAGCACAGACTGATGCAGAGAGAGACGGCGTTCACCTGAGAGGTCGCACGGCGCCGTGAGGTCACAGAAATAAGACGTAAACAGAGTCCTCATCCTGCAGGAGGAGGGGACAGTCAGGGAGGGACTCTGCATGAGGGAGGACCGGTCTGATGGTCTGAGGTCTAGAGAGAGCCCGGTCTGAGGTCTAGAGAGAGCTTGGTCTGAGGTCTAGAGAGAGCCTGGCCTGAGGTCTAGAGCGAGCCCAGTCTGAGGGTCTGAGGTCTAGAGAGAGCCCGGTCTGAGGTCTAGAGAGAGCTTGGTCTGAGGTCTAGTGAGAGCCCGGTCTGAGGTCTAGTGAGAGCCTGGCCTGAGGTCTAGAGAGAGCCTGGCCTGAGGTCTAGAGCGAGCCCAGTCTGAGGGTCTGAGGTCTAGAGAGAGCTCGGTCTGAGGTCTAGAGAGAGCCCGGTCTGAGGTCTAGAGCGAGCCCAGTCTGAGGTCTAGAGAGAGCCCGGTCTGAGGTCTAGAGAGAGCCCGGTCTGAGGTCTAGAGAGAGCTTGGTCTGAGGTCTAGTGAGAGCCTGGCCTGAGGTCTAGAGAGAGCCTGGCCTGAGGTCTAGAGCGAGCCCAGTCTGAGGGTCTGAGGTCTAGAGAGAGCTCGGTCTGAGGTCTAGAGAGAGCCCGGTCTGAGGTCTAGAGCGAGCCCAGTCTGAGGTCTAGAGAGAGCCCGGTCTGAGGTCTAGAGCGAGCCCAGTCTGAGGGTCTGAGGTCTAGAGAGAGCTCGGTCTGAGGTCTAGAGAGAGCCCGGTCTGAGGTCTAGAGCGAGCCCAGTCTGAGGTCTGAGGTCTAGAGAGAGCCTGGCCTGAGGTCTAGAGAGAGCTTGGTCTGAGGTCTAGAGAGAGCCCGGTCTGAGGTCTAGAGAGAGCCCAGTCTGAGGTCTAGAGAGAGCCCGGTCTGAGGTCTAGAGAGAGCCCGGTCTGAGGTCTAGAGAGAGCCCGGTCTGAGGTCTAGAGAGAGCTTGGTCTGAGGTCTAGAGAGAGCCCGGTCTGAGGTCTAGAGAGAGCCCGGTCTGAGGTCTAGAGCGAGCCCAGTCTGAGGTCTAGAGAGAGCCCGGTCTGAGGTCTAGAGCGAGCCCAGTCTGAGGGTCTGAGGTCTAGAGAGAGCTTGGTCTGAGGTCTAGAAAGAGCCCGGTCTGAGGTCTAGAGAGAGCTCGGTCTGAGGTCTAGAAAGAGCCCGGTCTGAGGTCTAGAGAGAGCCCGGTCTGAGGTCTAGAAAGAGCCGGTATGAGGATCTGAGGTCTAGAGAGAGCTCGGTCTGAGGTCTGGAAAGAGCCCGGTCTGAGGTCTAGAAAGAGCTCGGTCTGAGGTCTAGAAAGAGCCCGGTCTGAGGTCTAGAGAGAGCTCGGTCTGAGGTGTAGAAAGAGCCTGGTCTGAGGTCTAGAAAGAGCCCGGTCTGAGGTCTAGTGAGAGCCTGGCCTGAGGTCTAGAGAGAGCCCGGCCTGAGGTCTAGAGAGAGCCCGGTCTGAGGTCTAGAGAGAGCTTGGTCTGAGGTCTAGAGAGAGCCCGGTCTGAGGTCTAGAGCGAGCCCAGTCTGAGGTCTAGAGAGAGCCCGGTCTGAGGTCTAGAGCGAGCCCAGTCTGAGGGTCTGAGGTCTAGAGAGAGCTCGGTCTGAGATCTAGAGAGAGCCCGGTCTGAGGTCTAGAGCGAGCCCAGTCTGAGGTCTAGAGAGAGCCCGGTCTGAGGTCTAGAGAGAGCCCGGTCTGAGGTCTAGAGCGAGCCCAGTCTGAGGGTCTGAGGTCTAGAGAGAGCTCGGTCTGAGGTCTAGAGAGAGCCCGGTCTGAGGTCTAGAGCGAGCCCAGTCTGAGGGTCTGAGGTCTAGAGAGAGCCTGGCCTGAGGTCTAGAGAGAGCTTGGTCTGAGGTCTAGAGAGAGCCCGGTCTGAGGTCTAGAGAGAGCCCAGTCTGAGGTCTAGAGAGAGCCCGGTCTGAGGTCTAGAGAGAGCCCGGTCTGAGGTCTAGAGAGAGCTTGGTCTGAGGTCTAGAGCGAGCCCAGTCTGAGGTCTAGAGAGAGCCCGGTCTGAGGTCTAGAGCGAGCCCAGTCTGAGGGTCTGAGGTCTAGAGAGAGCTTGGTCTGAGGTCTAGAAAGAGCCCGGTCTGAGGCCTAGAGAGAGCTCGGTCTGAGGTCTAGAAAGAGCCCGGTCTGAGGTCTAGAGAGAGCCCGGTCTGAGGTCTAGAAAGAGCCGGTATGAGGATCTGAGGTCTAGAGAGAGCTCGGTCTGAGGTCTGGAAGAGCCCGGTCTGAGGTCTAGAAAGAGCTCGGTCTGAGGTCTAGAAAGAGCCCGGTCTGAGGTCTAGAGAGAGCTCGGTCTGAGGTGTAGAAAGAGCCTGGTCTGAGGTCTAGAAAGAGCCCGGTCTGAGGTCTAGTGAGAGCCTGGCCTGAGGTCTAGAGAGAGCCCGGCCTGAGGTCTAGAGAGAGCCCGGTCTGAGGTCTAGAGAGAGCTTGGTCTGAGGTCTAGAGAGAGCCCGGTCTGAGGTCTAGAGCGAGCCCAGTCTGAGGTCTAGAGAGAGCCCGGTCTGAGGTCTAGAGAGAGCCCGGTCTGAGGTCTAGAGCGAGCCCAGTCTGAGGGTCTGAGGTCTAGAGAGAGCTCGGTCTGAGGTCTAGAGAGAGCCCGGTCTGAGGTCTAGAGCGAGCCCAGTCTGAGGGTCTGAGGTCTAGAGAGAGCCTGGCCTGAGGTCTAGAGAGAGCCCGGTCTGAGGTCTAGAGAGAGCCCAGTCTGAGGTCTAGAGAGAGCCCGGTCTGAGGTCTAGAGAGAGCCCAGTCTGAGGGTCTGAGGTCTAGAGAGAGCCTGGCCTGAGGTCTAGAGAGAGCCCGGTCTGAGGTCTAGAAAGAGCCCAGTCTGAGGTCTAGAGAGAGCCCGGTCTGAGGTCTAGAGAGAGCCCGGTCTGAGGTCTAGAGAGAGCCTGGTCTGAGGTCTAGAGAGAGCTTGGTCTGAGGTCTAGAGAGAGCCCGGTCTGAGGTCTAGAGCGAGCCCAGTCTGAGGTCTAGAGAGAGCCCGGTCTGAGGTCTAGAGCGAGCCCAGTCTGAGGGTCTGAGGTCTAGAGAGAGCTTGGTCTGAGGTCTAGAAAGAGCCCGGTCTGAGGTCTAGAGAGAGCTCGGTCTGAGGTCTAGAAAGAGCCCAGTCTGAGGTCTAGAGAGAGCCCGATCTGAGGTCTAGAAAGAGCCCGGTATGAGGATCTGAGGTCTAGAGAGAACTCGGTCTGAGGTCTGGAAAGAGCCCGGTCTGAGGTCTAGAAAGAGCTCGGTCTGAGGTCTAGAAAGAGCCCGGTCTGAGGTCTAGAGAGAGCTCGGTCTGAGGTGTAGAAAGAGCCTGTTCTGAGGTCTAGAAAGAGCACGGTCTGAGGTCTAGAGAGAGCCAGGTCTGAGGTCCGGTCAGAGAGGGGGACGCAGATCAGAGATCACTTTGATTTTAAAAACTCTTAGAGGGGAAGACGGAGAACTACGGAGACCACAAAGTGACGTGCCCTTTCTATTTCACCCGACTGTTTCAGTCCCGCTCGTCTTTGTTAAAACAGGTTATGATTTTAGCACACGTGTTATATTCATATTTTGGTTTGTTGTTACTTGAATATATTCCCCCAGCGGCCATGTTGCTGTGATGTCACGCTTAGGGTGGGAAGCCCAAATGTTGTCGTCACATTTCTCTAAATCAGAACTAATGCAACAGGAAGTACGTTCACGCTGCCAGGAGTGGACTCATAAATACACGAGCCTTTAAACCAAACTGAAACACGCTTCACTGCAGATGGAGAGGAGTGTTGGAATGTCATGAAGGAACTCGAGCTGCTCGACCACAGACTCAGAAAATCGATCTTTATTCTGTCTGCGGCGCGATGACTCTGTTTCAATAGAAATCTTCTATTTATACCGAGGAGTGCTGGACGAGCCGCTCTCAGATGTCATTAAAGTCCTTCAGAGGACGCACAAACCCCCCAGACTGAAACATGACGTGTAAAGGAGAAATGTGGGACCACTGTTCTTTGTTAGCCTCCCCCAGCTGCAGGGATGCAGGAGAAGTAGGTTGCTTAAAAAACGAGTAATGAGAAGGAAACCCGTCAGAGCTGCATGATCAGAGACATCTTTAAGTTTCACCTTTAATGAGTCTTCTGCAGACGAACCGCTCTATGCTCCACTGTTAGGGGTCAGAGGTCAGTGGTCAAAGCTGCAGCTCACTGCTCCAGCAGCTGTTTGAAATCAGGAGTTCACTTGAAGGACACGTCAGCAGAGTCCAGGTCCTGACCTGAGATCAGCCTCATTAATCGCAATCATCCTGCTGCTGCAGAGAGACTCACACTCCAGAGGATCCTGCTCCAGATCACACCTGAAAAACACCTGAAAAACAGCTGTTCACACCAGAAAAACACCTGAAAAACAGCTTTTCACACCTGAAAGCCTCACCTGGACTTAATTCAAACTTTATTTACAGATTGAACAACATGCACACAGTCACACACAGCCGTAGCATTTAACTTTGAGACTTAATGAATGTACGAATCAACGCTGTATTAGAGCAGCTCTGTTGCACAGTATCACGCAACCTGTTACTCACTCACTGTTGCCGTGGCAACACTCCTGTTTATGTGTTTTATCCTGTATCAGCGTGCAGAGTTTATAGATGTGTATTTATCCAGATAAAGTCATATTTCACTTGGATGGAACATTTTGAAGCAGCTGTCTCTAAAACTGTCAAAAACTGTCGACTCATGGGCGTCTGTAGCGTAGAGGTTTGTCCTACAAGAGGGCGCTTCTCCGACCCGTGGCTCCTTTCCTGCATATTAATCGCCTCTCTCTCTCTCTCTCTCTCTCTCCCTCTCTCTCTCTTTCTCTCCCCCGGTTTCTGACTCTCTCCGCTCAGAAAAAGCCCAAAAATATCATCAACCTCTTTTCTTTACGTGAAATAGTTTCAAACACTAATTAAAGGAGCAGTATGTAACTCTGACACCTAGTGTTTAAAATGGGTACTGCAGTCTAAATTCTAAACAGCTGTGTGTTTACAGACCAGCTCTGCATCGGTCTGTAAACCTTTCTGCGTTCTAACCTCTCTCCATTTTTCAAAAGCATCTCCAATATTGATCCTAGTTTGAGCATGTTTCTGCTCGTGGAGCTTATTAGAAACATGCAGAGGCTTTTTAGGTCGGGTACAATCACTTCTGTCTGAACCAGTTCTCTTGCCCGCTTCCATCGCTGCAACACCTGTTGGTTTGACCTGATAACTGCTCTCATATCTGACAAACCGAGGGGCGTCCAGAACGGAGACGGACCAAACAGAAAAGATCTTTGAGGGTTTGAACAGCTCTGCAGATCTTTGAATAAACGTTGGTAGAGATCTTTGCATCCAGATGAAATATCACTTAAAGATATAGACGAGTCTAAAGTGTATAAATAATGAAGAGGTGGTTCATCAGTTTGTGAATAAAAGATCTTTGTTGATATGTGAGGAGAAGCACAGAAAGGACATTAAAGGGAAATATTATAATTTATATTTGAGTGAGGCTGTGATTGAAATGTTTATAAAGATGGTTTTATGTGTTTACACTCAGAGAAATATAAGAATGTTATTTACTGTAATATCTCTTTAACCTGAGGGACATCAGGGTTCATGTGAAGTGTTATAAAGAGGACGGAGACTCTGCTAAAGCTCGGCTCAGTGTTTTGATTCATTAACGTCTACTAAAGGTTAAAGGTCACATATTTTCCTCCTCTTCAGTGTAAATAAGTGTCAGAGCTCCTCAAAACATGTGTGTGAAGTTTCTTGTTCTAAATCCACTCTGATCCTTTATTTGATTATGTCTATAAACCCCTCTATTTCAGCCCTGCTCAGAACAGGCTGTCTCTGTGTCTGTACCTTTAAATATGTAAATGAGCGGTGTCTGACCACGCCCCCTTTCTGGAAGGGCTCGGGTGTCTCTGGCTTTCTCGCTCCTATTGTTTATGGTGAGAAGGCAGACTCAGAGAGCAGAACAAACCCCTAGCTGTGGGAGTGTCACCCACCTGGGGGAGGGGTTACTGCCCTTTGTGATGTCATGAAGGGAAAATCTCCAAACAGCCTGTTTGAGCACATGTTCTGAAAAGTGGAGCAGGCAGAAGATGGAGAGGATGGACTTTTCTCATCATTGGGGGGTTTGTAGACGGACTAGAGACACATATTAGAGTTAGAGGAACATGGGGAAGAGGACTTTAAATATGTGACCTTTAACATTTAACTTTATGGAGAAACAGCTCGTCTGCTCTTTCGTCAAAGAGGACAAACATTTATTTCACTCTGTTGTCCGGCGATGACGACTTTCTTCTATCGTATTTATCTTGTAATGTCGGGTTTAATCGCTCTGTCCTCTGATAATGAGTTCATTTCAATCGTTTTCTTAAGATTGTGAGAAGTCGACTCGTTAGCGTTAGCGTCGATATACTGAGATAAATACGTCGAGATCTCAAGAAAATCACAGAGATGTCGTTGTGATCCGGGGAAATCAGAGTGAAATCAAACGTCTGGATGTTTTCAAAGACACTCGGAGAGAAATCGAACATACGCCTTTAAATATTTCCAGATTAAAGAAGCTAACATCCTTTAAAACCCGATCTAAACGGGGGAAGAATCTGAGCCGGGTTTTAACGTTTACTCTCATCTTTATTGTCCAAATATTCCTGATTATTAAAGGTCCAGTTTAACGAAGAGAGAGGAGAAACAGAACAATCAGAGGTGTGATTTAAACTCGGCACAGTCTCTCTCTTCATCTCCAGAAGTGTTTGGTCACGTTTTAAGCCCCGCCCTCTGACTCCAGTTAGAGATGAATGTAAGGATTGTAAACGTCCTCAGATGTTCGATTGTGTTGATTTCATGTCTGTGTGATGAAGCAGGAGCAGCTCGTGCGCTGCAGTCTGTCGTCCTGAAGGTTCATGTCTGCATGTCGACGTTTTGACGCCTTCTTCCTGTAAATACTGAGAGCTGTAAACTGTTTTTAACTCTCGTTTTGTTTACGTGAAACAATAAACTTATCTTTGCTGTTTTTAAAAGATTTCCATTTCTTTACATCTCAAGCTGACGACACAAAACACGATAGTCAGATTTATCCCCCTATTGATCGGGGGGCGTGGCCTGATTCAAGGCTTGTAAGTATGAATGTTTGAAGCCTGAGTGACGTCACCCGTCTGTTCTGCAGGGGGCGCTGGAGTCCCATCGATGGCGGTCTCCATGCTGGAAATGCTGTCTCAGTCTAACTTTCAGTCAACCTAACGACAGGCTGAGAGCTGGAGCTAAGGCGGGTTTTAAACCTCCTGACAAACCGTTACACCTCACCCACCTGTCAATCAGGTCAGCTACACGCCTTATTGTGAATAACTCTTATCCTTCATCAAATCAAAACTGATGAGTCATCAAAACATTCACCACCCGTACAGTGTGTACGGGTGGTGTTTTTTGAACCAGGCTGTAAACATGTTAATCTCTGCTGTAAAAACAGACTTTTTAGAATGGGTTTGTATGTGACTTCCTGTGCTTCAGCAGCCAGCCTCTAGTGGACACTCGAAGAACTGCAGGATTTTACACTTCATTGTAATTCATCTGACCTCAAACTCGTCCTCCCTGCAGAGTCTCATACATCACCTGTCTCCTCCGCAGAGAGACAACCAGAGATTTATTACCTTCACCTGAGACCCGGAGCTATTGAGGTGTGTGTCTCTGTGTGTGTGTGTGTCTGTGTGTGTGTGTGTGTGTGTGTGTCTGTCTCTGTGTGTCTGTGTCTCTGTGTGTGTGTCTGTCTGTGTGTGTGTCTCTGTGTGTGTGTGTGACTTTAAAATGACTTTTCACAGCAGTCTGAATGACTGCAGGGCTCTCTCTGTGCGTTTCCTCTGAGTGTTCATTGACATTCATTCTGCCTGCACCACGGTCAGACGTGAAGAGATCATCATCACAGGAACATTAATGGACTTGTCATAAGAACCCAACAATATGAAATGAGACCGGATGAATAGGTATGGCTCTCTCTCCCTTCCGGCTGCAGGAGGTGATTGAACTCACCTGAGCCAATCAGGGTGGAGTATAAAGAGCCGCAGAGAGGAGACAAAGGAAAGTAGAAGGGTGGTGAAGGAAAGAAGGTGAATGGGGGAAAGATGGAGATTAAAGGAGGAACCAGGATAAAGGAGGGGAGGATTAAGGGAAAATACAGGAAAAGGAGATGAAGAAAGATGGAGGGGAACAAAGATGTGAGGAGAGAGGCGGCAGAGATGGAAGAGGAAAAATCAAGAGAGGAGAACAAAGACGATGGAGAGACAAATAAACAGGAAGAAAGCGAAAGATGGAGATAGAGGAGGATAGAGAGAGAGAGAGGAGGGAACATAAAGAATGGAAGGAGAAGAGATGAGGAAAAAAAGGAGAAGTGACTGAAACAGAATCTCCTCCATGCTCAGTGATCTGAATGACAATGAGGACACACACACAAACACACACGTGTTACTAATGCACAGCAGCTCTCTCTCTCACACTGGGGGAGGATCCTTCATTTAAAGGGACAGTTCACAGATTTTGAAGCGATGTGAGAAAGTGTGCTCAGTTAATGAACTCAGACTTTCTAAAGTACTAGGACTCCAGCATAGGAAGAGGAGGAGGAGAGAGAGGAGGAAGAGGAGAGGAGGAGGAGGAGAGAGGAGGAGAGAGTGGAGGAAGAGGAAAGGAGGAGGAAGAGGAGAGGAGGAGGAAGAGAGAAGGAGGAGGAAGAGGAGAGGAGGAGGAAGAGGAGAGAGGAGGAAGAGGAGCTTCTGGGGGTGATGAGCCCAGGAGGAGGGGCCCAGTTTGAATGTTTACAAACATTTCTGCTGACTCCTCCTTTAGAGTAAAAATTGTTCTGCCTCTGTGATCGTCTAATCTGACCTACTGACCATCGTTACCGACTAAAACATCGTAGTCTGACCTCAGCGTTCAGGAGCAATGTGCTGCAAACAGACAATATAAACACAGAGAGACGAACAGAAACTCAACGCTGATTATAAAGTTTGACGTTTTTATTGGAGAATTTCAGCATCAAATATTTTAACAAGCCAGTTTTTTTTTTATTCTGGTCAATCCAAAGAAAAGAAGGATTCCATCTTCAAAGTAAAAATGAGATAAATATGAACATGTGTTCTCCTCATTCATATCTATGCACAAGTTCAATCCAGAGATGTTCATCTGCCTCCTGAGAGAACGCTGCTTCTTCTTCTTGAGTTTTTATCTAAGTAGAATGTTTAGTAAACGAAGCTGTCAGAAGGAGGAGGGAGGGAGAGAGAGACAGAAGTAGAGAAGGGAACTACATGAACATGTCGTCATATCCGGGCGGGGGCATGTGGTCTCTGTCTGGTCTGAAAAACACAATAATCTGTCATCAGCTTCATCTTGCCGTTTGATTGGACAGGAAGCAGAAGTGTAAAACTAAGAGCAGCACTGAACAAGGATTCTCAGAGTGTGTGTGTGTCAGTGTGTGTGTGTGTGTGTGTGTGTGTGTGTGTGTGTCTCACCCCGGTCTGTGTCGTCCCACTGGTCCAAATGGGTCGAAGCGAGCTCCGGAGGGGACGGCTCCAGGGGGCAGGATGTCTGGGATACCGCTGGAAGGGTCAAAACCAGAGCGAGGATACCCCGACCTCAAAGGGTCCATGATCATCCCGCCACCGCCACGAGAGCTTTGTGAGGGGGGGGGGGGGGGGGGGTTACATGTTACATGAGGAGGATGTGTGAATGTATATATAAATATAATGAAATGTTGTGATGCAGGAAACGTCCTGAAGCTCTGATGTTTGAGTTCAGAGCTTCAGAGTCTGAACAAGGGACGCTAATCCTCAGCCTGCCTGTGAGTGTGAGTGTGAGTGTGTGTGTGTGTGTGTGTGTGTGTGTGTGTGTGTGTGTGTGTGTGTTTACACTGACGTTTATCCCCAAAATCCAGGATTAGAACAAAGCTCTCTTTACTCAAATTTATAACTGAAAATGATTTCTATTTGAAAACAGAGAGAGAGAGAGAGAGAGAGAGAGAGAGAGAGAGAGAGAGAGAGGCGGACTCACCCGAAGGGATCCAGATCTGCTCCTCCTGCTGCAAAAGGGTGCATGGGATCTGGCCTGAAACACACACACACACACACACACATCAGTATCTTATATTGGACCAAAAGCTGCTCCTCTTCCTCCTCTCTCTAACTCACTTTCCCTCGTCCATCACTCATCGCTCTGTGTGAAGTTAACTTCTTCCTCCGTCTTTATGATTTCTTACTTTTCCTTTATCTGTCTTTGTTTATGTCCCCTCCTCCTTATGTCTCCTCCCTATGTGGGGACGAGGAGGCGATAGCAGTGAGGTCGATAAAGTGCTGACATCACCTCGCATCTCATCTGATCGGGTCACAGCGTGCAGGACGAGGGAGGCAGAAGAGGACACGCACACGGCGAGCTCTGCCCTCGTTCACTCTCTTCTACTAAACACTGTCTAGACAGGCTGAGTGTTATAAGAGTGAAATCTTCCATGTGAAATAGAGTGACCATTATTGGATGAGAAATCATTCTTCCATAAAGAAAGAAGATATTTGACGGTCGTTTTTCTCAAAAAGCTCGGGAGCGAAGTCAAGGCGCGCGCATCAATTAAGACAGGTTTAGTTGTTTTATGCCAGAGCGCCTTCAGACGTCCACCAGAGGACGTAACAGAAACACAGAGCAGCAACCTCCAGTGTGGAAAAGTAAAGCCAATGCTGAAGTGCAAAATATTACAGTTCCTGGAGTGTCCACTAGAGGCTGTCTGCAGAAGCACAGGAAGTGACATACAAACCCATTCTAAAAGAATGTGTTGGACCCGACCAGAGCAACAGGTGAGGTCCGTCTCCCTTACCTTAGCAGACGCCTCGAAGCCCCCAGACCAGCTATAACCCCAGGGTTGTGTGTTTGAAGTTACACTTACTGTTTTTAAAGTGTAAAGTCATTGAACTTAGTATGAAAGATGCAGATCACTGACCAGTTGGGCTGTGTTCCCTGTCGAGGGTGTCTGTTGGGGATACGGAGGGGGTCGCTGTCTTCTCCTCTCCGTCTCTGCTCCTCGTCCTCGTCCCTCCGACTCCTCCTCTCCGTCCTCTGCGCGGCGGTCTGTCCTGAGGGGGCAGCAGCTGAGTCCTGACCTTCTCCGACAGACTGTCTGTGTCCTTAAACACTCTGAAACCAGACAGCCTGCTTTTTAATATCGACTTCATTTTTATACACTTCTTTTATAGGAAAAGAGCAGCCATCATAAGAAGAGGGGGAAATGCACTGGCAGGATGTGACCTCCCCTCTCTCAATCTGATTACACCCCTCTCCCTCAAAATCCCTCTCCTCCCGTTTCACTGTTGCAATAAAAAACAATTCGTTACAAGATTTAATTGGGGTTTCAGTATTATATCAATATTATTTTAAATGGTGAGAAATAACAGGAAATGCACAGATTTCTGTCAAATAAGGTAATATAGACTCGTAGACTATACTGTTATACGCGGGTTAAACGTTTACTACAGCGCGTATAGTCACCCCCCCAAAGGCCCATTCTGAGCCAGGAAAACCCCTGGTTAAGTCACATGTTTTAAGGCACGGTACAGGTGCTCATACACAAGCACAGGAACACAACAGTCAGAAAGTATCTGTCATGTTCTCTGTGTTGTTATTATATGTGTGGACTCGACTGTGCGTCACTTTTTTTTTTTCTGAGTCCTCCTGTCTCATAAACTGAGCACGCTTCATGATTACATAAAGCCATGCATGTGTTGTATTACGATGTTATGAACAGAGGTAACCGTGCTCAGGCCCGGTTAGTCCTGGAGCAGTGTGAGTGCAGACCAGCAGGGGAATGTGGAGGGGAACTGATCCTTCAGCACGGTACGCCTAGTGTGAGTGCGCCCGAAAACCAACCTGTCAAATGTTTGTAGCTGTTCAGCATCCACGTGGTCACTGATGTTCACCGTCAAGTCTGACACCTGCTGAGTGCTGGAGCTCTTCACACACACACACACACACACAGGAGGAAAACATCAAGACAAGTGATGGATAATTTACAGATTTCTCCAATAGAGTACGGAATCAAAAAGAACCACTGGAATCTGATGCGTGTAAATCCGGGTATATATTTCAGCTACCATCAGGTTGAAGATCAGAGTGGAGTCCACAACGATGGCTTTGAGCAGCAGCGTGGTGTCGCCGTCTTTGGGTTTATATCTCAGACTGTACAGCTCCTTGGTGGCGCTCCAGTCTGCAGGCAGCAGCTCAGACTTCTTATCATTGTTGCGGGGCTAATGGAGGGAGACAGACAAAGAGCAAGCAAAGAGCTAGAACAGGCAGGATAACAATGTGAGGACAGACTCTCCAGCAGTATAATGAAAAGCAGTGTTACAGCATGACTGTCCCCTACTGGCACAGCACTACAGTAAGTTAGCTAGCCACAGATGACATGACAGTTTTTGGAGCTCTTTTTATTCCAAACTACAGCTTGAAAGTTCAGCATGAAATCAGACAGCTTGTTACAGAAACGATGAATATGTTCATGATGTTAGAAACAGATTGGTATGAACTCGGTTAAATACAGTTTTATTCTAATTTAGAAAGCTAACACCAAGACACAGGCGCTTGGTTAACTTGTACAGAATTCCATTGAAATAAAACGCAGTTTTATATTTCCAGGTGAAGTAAGGGACAATAATCTGAGTAAAAATAATCCAAATATATGCACACGGATCGTCTAGAGCTGTTCTTTAATTCGGCGTATGGTTTATTTACTAGAAAAATCGTGTTGTGCTTAAAAATTCAGTTAAATATCTGTCAATCCAATGACCGGTGTTTCGCTTTAACTAGCAACCGTGTTAATTGGACACTCTCAGTTGAATACGTCCACGGTTGCCGTAGTTACAGCGGCTGTTTAACCCATAGACTGTAAATATTACGGTTTAACCCGAAAAGAGTTACCTGATCACGTGTGTTAAACGCAGGATCTGTCCGTTTATAACATCTGATGTAACATCGTCTAACACATACGACTGAAAGTCACTAAATAACACGGTCACTCGTTTAGCCGTAACACCTGATCGCATTAGTCAGCGAGTTTAACAGTCTGGATGTTTTTGAAAGTCAGAAATAATTCACTAACAATCCGTCAGATTAAAACTGCAGTTTTTTAAACGCAGTTCGGCGGCACGCTGAAACAACAAGTCATCGTATTGTGTGTTGTAGCTAACTGAACTCACCTCGTCTCCGGAGCCGACGCACCTGTACCCGCTCTTTATCATCTCCCAGTGAACGAAACACACCACGGCGTCCTGTGGACAGGTGACACTGCCACCGAAACAGGTGTACAATACTTCCAACCCCGCCATGTTTGCTTATCTAACGATTATGACAACAACATCGAGTCGGTAGAAATGAAAACGAAAGTCTCAACGTACTGACGTCACGTTGCGCAGCAACAGCAACCACGTCCGGTCTGCACCTTCATCGTAAAAGCACCGGAATGTTTTCTTTTATTTTTATTATTCCGCATCAAGAATTAACAACAATCTGATTAAAACATGTGTTATATCAAATTAAATTAAATTGGGGGGCTTTAATCAGTGAAGAGCTCAAATGATTCCGAGAGTCTCAAGGCTTTTTCAAAGACTGGAAAATATTTTTAAGTCATTTTTAAATTTGGAGATGTGAATTTAAAAATGACCTGTAATCAAAATATTATTACACAAAAATGTTAGCATCTCTGATCTGCATAAACACACCAAATGTTACAACGAACCATTCAAGGATTCTGTTCCAAAATATCTTTACAGAGGTACAACGAAGAAAAGATGATCCAATATTTACTCTATTGTCCACCTCATGACGTCTGCCAGTTTAAAATGTATTTTGAGCTTTTTTTGTAGAGATAGGACAGTGGATAAGAAATTAGAGAGAAAGTCAGGAACGACGTGTGGGAAAGGTGCCACAATTTGAGTTTGGACACAGGCCGCCCGCTTGGAGGACTGTAGCCTCCGTACGAGGGGCACACACATTAACCACTGGGCCACCAGAGCTCCTGCATTGCCACTTTAGGTGTCACACTAAGTTTGCCATTTTACCTGTTCTAGCCACTTTAAATTGTTTTTACTGGTTGAACATGTTTTTTCAATACACTTCACTTTGTTTACTAATTGAATCTTTTATAGTCACCTTCTTGTCACTGCATTTAATCTCATATACCACCTCTTCAATATTAATTCTCTGTTGTTTTATGTTGCATCACTCTATGTGCTTTGTATGTGTGAAATGACAATAAAGAGAACTACAGGGGAATACAATTCAGAGTTCATATTTATGACAAGAACTGATGTTTGATGAAAATAATTAACTCATAGACTAGGAAATTATATATTTGCATGAATAATATGAATGCAGAATATTTTTCCCTGCGCAGTTTGTGCTCTGAGCAATACGAGAGTGTGTAACATTTAAACAGGCCCTGATTAATTAAAGTTTTTTTTTATGTATTGATGTTAAAAAGCTTCATTTCTACAAACCTGTGCTTCATATTCCTAAACTGCATCACTCAAAAGGTAGACTTATCTATTTAATCAAATGACGGTATAAATGGCGGAAACAGTATGATGCACGGTGTCTAACTTTACAGAGCTCTTTTGTTTTCTGTGTTTTGATCCAACACAGAAAGACTTCCAGGCAGAAACCGTGCTCGGGCTGTTCTTGGTACCTTTTAGTAAAAACGTTAAGAACTTCAGTTTGTCACTGGGGTAAATAATAAAAATAGATTAAAATATATTATGATTATATTTACACTCTATGATTAAAATCAAATAAATGTAGGCTCACAGACTATTGTATGGGCGTTTTTTAAAATGCAGTACTAAAAAATCTAAAAGCCTAACGACAAAAAATAGTCAGACGTTGATCATGTTTTAATTTTCAACTCTAATATCATAAATAATAATATTTTCCCTTCCGTTTCGTTCCTTTGTTTAAAAGACTCAGTTTCCCATGATGCACCGTGCGGGGCGGTGAGCGCTTCCTTGTCAAGATGGCGGCTCCCTTGACTCTACTTTTGATTGTAGCTGTTACGATCCGCGCGGCTCTGTACAGATCCAGTCTAGCGGACTTAATATCGGAGCGGGTCGAAGTGGTATCTCCGTTAACGGCCTGGAAGAGAGGTAAGTCCGGATCCGGGTCTTCTTTGTTCCGTGTTTGTCGTTACATCGCCGCTCCGGTCGCTTCCTGTCCTCGGCTCTGTCATCACGTCAAAAACCGGTTTAGCTACAACAACTGTGCTCGTTACAATAAAAATACAATTACAGATTAATGAAGGTGGATCAAAGCCCTCCGGTGTTTACACTCTGAAGATTTAATTCAGCTTTGATTGTTGTTGATAAAAAAAGAGGTTCATTGTTCTGTTGATGGCTGCAACAGAACAACACACCGGTCTGATCTACTTTACTCTGTTCTACATTCTACTACAATCTGTTCTACATTCTACTACACTCAGATCTACTATATCTGTTCTACTACACTCAGATCTACTATATCTGTTCTACTACACTCAGATCTACTATATCTGTTCTACTACACTCAGATCTACTACACTCAGATCTACTATATATGTTCTACACTCAGATCTACTATATCTGTTCTACTACACTCAGATCTACTACACTCAGATCTACTATATATGTTCTACTACACTCAGATCTACTACACTCAGATCTACTATATATGTTCTACTACACTCAGATCTACTATATCTGTTCTACTACACTCAGATTATCTGTTCTACTACACTCAGATCTACTACACTCAGATCTACTACGCTCAGATCTACTTTACTCTGTTCTACATTCTATTACAATCTGTTCTACAAAATAGATCAGACCGCTGTGTTGTTCTGTTGTAGTTCACATTTTGATCCAGCAGAGGGCGCGCTGTGTAACTTGACCTCTTGACCTCAGTAAATGAAGACGGTAATGTTGTAGAAAAAGCAACAGGGGGCGCTATTCAGGAAGTTCAAACTTACACGAGGGAGACTCGTCTCTCTGCAGACAGCAGCCCCCTGATTGGTGGAGAGACACGGGGTCACTACAAACCTGCAACTCTCCAAGCTGGCCCGCTGATGTTTGTGTGTACCTGGAACGTGTGTGCGCTCTGAACGGGCGTTCTTGTCAGTCGTAGATAATACACTCAACACTTAACGGGTTTCTGCTGAGCGCCACAGATGTTCAGAGGTAATCAATGTATTGATCAGAGAAAAGCTGGCATGCTGCCCGAGCAGCGATGGAGTCAGAACCCGTGGATAGAATTAGTCCAAATAGAAGAGAAAGACGATGTGGAAGGGGTTAGGATGCTGTGACACGCTCAGGCGCTCAGTCTGTGCAGGATGAACCGGCTGTGAGAGGCGGGCCCTTCATGAATGGTTAATGAGGAAGTGACATCATCAGAAAGACTCTCAGCTGATTGTGTGAGGACACATCGAGGGAGCTGCTCGGTGATCGGGATGTAAAGAAATACATCTTCAGAGAGATCACGTTGACGTCTCTAACGTAGACAAACAGATATGTGGTCGATGTGTTTGTGTCGTTCAGACCGCGTGCAGGACTCACTGTGACCTTTATGACCACCCTCATGTCTCATATGTTTACGTACAGCACGTCACATCCACGTCCCGACGCAGAACGTGTTCTGACATTTTTTAGATTTAGAGACACATCGTAAAAGAAACCAAAGGTGGAAAATAAAACCTCAGCAACGTTTGTTTGTTTGCTTACAGTTGTTGAAGGTTTGGCTCTGCTCGACCTCGGAGTGTCACCGTACTCTGGAGATGTTTTCCACGAGGTGAGACGCACACACACACACACACGCACACACACATATCAATATGAATGTACTAAGACGGATGGCGGCTGCAGTTACTGCATGTATTTGATAAAATACACTAGTGGAAGCAACTTCCAAACTCCATTCGATCTGCAGAGTCCCTTTGAACCTTTAAGAAAAAGCTAAAGACCCAGCTCTTTATGAACACCTACGACCTTCATGATGAAGATGATGATGAGTGTCTCTGCTCACTTCCTGTCAGCACCTCTGCTCACTTCCTGTCAGCACCTCTGCTCACTTCCTGTCAGCCCCCTCTGGTCACTGCCTGTCAGCAGCTGTGTGTCGATCAGACTTAAATCTGTTTGTTTTCACTTCCTGTTGTTGTCTCCTCCTCTCTCTCTCCTTGCTCGAGATGTTCTTACTCTCTGATGTTCGTCACTTTGAATTAAAGCGTCTGATTATTGAAATGAAGAATTCATCATCCTGATTGTTTGAACATGTTTGATTTTTTTCTCCGACCTCAAACGTCCCTTTCCGTCTCTCGTCAGACTCCTCTCATCATTTACCTTTTCCACTTTGTGGTCGACTACGCAGAGATCACGTTCATGGTGAGTGTGTTGCTTCTTACTCACTTGTTCCTTTAACTATAAATCTACCAGAGCACGAGCCTCATGACATGTTAGTTCATTCTGTGGAGGATCTTCAGTCTCTGTAACATCTCCATCTCTGTCTGTGTGTCTGCAGTTAGCCGATGTGATCACTGCTGTGGCGCTCTACATGGCAGTGATGGACTACAACAAACAAGTGGTAAGAAAACACTAGTGCGTGCGTGCGTGCAAACGATGCGTTCAGGTGCTGCTCGGGGGTCCAAGATTCAGAGTGGTGAGGTCTTCAGAGTGTTCTTGTGATTTCAGTTCAGAAAGTCTGAATGTTGTAAAAACAGCAAAGAGAAGAAGATCTGTGAAACGTAAACGTTAAAGGTGAATTAATAAAAAGTGTGTTGACATAAAAAAAAAAAAAAAATGCCCCCGATGTACTGACGATTCTGACGTCAAGTCGGGCACCTCATTCTTTTCAGAGTTTCTGAGTTGTAGTTCCAACTTGAGCGGGTTTTCATGTTCATTTTACAAGTCGGAAACTCGTTTTCCCGATGTTTCCGACACCACCTGAATGCAGCATAAGAACAACAACAGAGAAAATCAAACGCACAGACCTGTCCCTGGTAGAACAGCTTTAAAGGTGCATGTTGTCCTGTTAGTAAAGGTTTATTCCATCGCGACAGACGGAGTAGGATTACTGATGAACTTCCTGTTTCTGAGTATTAAATCGTTAAATCTTTAGTTTCCCCTGTGACGTACTCGTTTCTGCTGTTTTCAGTTCAGGAAGCAGAAGTTTGCTCTGGAGGCGGACCGTTACCCCCACGACTGTCTGGAGCTCATCAGGACTCCTAAAGAGATGTACTACATCCCTCTGAAGGTCGCCATGTTGTAAGTTACACACACAACAGTTCAAAGGAAGAATGTGTGACATGTTCCACTTAAATAAATCATAAATCCAGTCTATCCTGTGTAAATGTGTCTCTGAGTCATGACTGTCTACAATGAGTGAGATGCTCGAGTCCCGCTGGCTGTGTTGTTGTCAGAGCCGTGTTTACATAGACGGGACGGCCGGCTCCTCCCCTTGTGTATAAAAGCTGTTTTAGTCAAGGACTAGAGAGAAGAAGAAGAACATACTCACTGATTATTTGGATGTTAGTAAGAGTTTTTAGATCACGCTCATTCTGTGTCATTCTGTTTACATGCAATATGAAGCTACGAGCTAACTAAAGAGCGCTAACATTAGCATGCTAACACAACAATGCAGGACACAGGTGATTGCAGCTAGAGACGAGGATGATTTTGTCCGTAGTTTGCGCTAAACTCCTTCATGTGAACGCGAGTAGAGAGTGGTTGGAGGTGTGTCTCCGGAGTAGGGCGGAGGCTTCAGTATGGAGGAGGCGTGGCCAAACAGCAGTTTGTTTTGGTTTCATGCTGGAGCTCAAGGGCGACATCTGCTTGATCAAAAAGTCGGCCTGTCCGTTGGGGGCTTAGCAGAGAGAACTCCCATGATTCTCCACCAGCCTCGACATCATCTTTAGTTATTGTTTGATTCATTGAGAGTCCCCTGGTGGTGGAATCTAAACACTGCGCCTTTTAAAAGAAGAAGAAGAAGAGGTCAAATGTGGCAAACGTGTGCTACATGTCTGTGTTGTTTTCATCCCCTGTTTCTTCTTCTTCTCTCTCAGCTACCTGTTGAACCCATTCACCATCCTGTCCTGCGTCGCCAAGTCAACCTGCGGCCTGAACAACGCCGTCATCTCCCTCTTCATTCTCTCCACGATAAAAGGTAAATGCCTAGTGGTTAGTGCATGCGCTCCATGTACAGAGGCATGGTCCTGAAAGCGGCTGACCCTGGTTCGAGTCTGACCTGTGGCTCCTGTCCCCGCATGTCGTATAACACGCTGTAGATGAATTTTAGCGTCTTTGAACACATGCTGTATCTACTTTCTGAACGTGTTTCTGTGTCGCAGGAAACGTCTTACTGAGCGCCGTGTTTCTGTCTTTGGCGACGTATCAGTCCATCTATCCTCTGACTCTGTGCGCTCCGGCTCTGCTCTACCTCATGCAGGTAAAGAAGGGTTTTGATTACTCACCTCCACCTGTTCCTCTGTTTTATACTCTGCTCACACGCCTCTCCGTCTTCTCCCCCCGCCAGCGTCAGTACATCCCGGTGAACTTCCGGCGAGCGAGTTTCTGGTGGTTCATGGCTCAGTACGGCTTCATGTACCTGGGCAGCCTCTCCGTCATCGTCTGCCTCTCCTTCTTCCTGCTCGGCTCGTGGGACTACCTGCCGTCTGTCTACGGCTTCATGTCAGTGTCCGACGTGCTCACGGATCTGAGAGCGCCAACGTTTGAATATTAACTGAATATATTTCCTTTCTGTGGTCTCGTCTTCAGTCTCTCCGTGCCCGATCTGACCCCAAACATTGGCCTCTTCTGGTATTTCTTCGCCGAGATGTTCGAACACTTCCGCCTGTTCTTCCTCTGCGTATTCCAGATCAACGTCTTCTTCTACACCATCCCGCTGTCCGTCAAACTCAAGTCAGTTCCCCCCCTCCAACACTCGCTACAGTCTTTGTAATGAATGAAACCTTACCTTTAACATCATGTGTGTTTCAGGGAGCACCCAGTGTTTCTGATCTTCATGCAGTTAGCCGTGATCTCCATCTTTAAGTCGTACCCCACAGTGGGAGACATTGCGCTCTACATGGCCTTCCTTCCTGTCTGGAGTCACCTGCACAGATGTGAGAGACTAAAAAACACCACATGACAACAATGCAGAAGCCAGTATGTCCTCCTTCTAACTTTAGATTCTGGTCCTGAATGATCTGGATTTGTTTGGACCAGAGAAGGTAGGCGGTTTTAAGGCACCCCCACACACGGCCGTTTTGGACGCCCCTTGGTTTGCCAGATATGAGAGCAGTTATCAGGTCAACAGGTGTTGCAGTGATGGAAGTGGGCAAGAGAACTGGTTCAGATAGAAGTGATTGTACCCGACCTAAAAAGCCTCTGCATGTTTCTAATAAGCTCCACGAGCAGAAACGTGCTCAAACTAGGATCAATATTGGAGATGTTTTTGAAAAATGGAGAGAGGTTAGAACGCAGAAAGGTTTACAGACCGATGCAGAGCTGGATAAACACTGAAGCTTCTGTGTCCACAGCGCTCTACAATGTTTAGAATTTAGACTGCAGTACCCATTTTAAACACTAGGGGTCAGAGTTACAAACTGCTCCTTTAATAATATAAATTCCAGCTTTAAGATGTCGTGCTGATTTCACCTGCAGGATATTTCATCACCAGCGGAGTCTGGCTTTGAGTCTAAACTGTCTCTGTGTCCTGGTTTGTGTCCCTGTTCAGTCCTGAGGAACATCTTCTTGGTGTCCTGCGTCCTGTTGGCGTGCTCCGCTCTGTTTCCCGTCCTCTGGCACCTCTGGATCTACGCCGGCAGCGCCAACTCCAACTTCTACTACGCCATCACGCTGCTCTTCAACGTGGCTCAGGTACAACTAGGTGGACTGGATTCTGGACCGGGGAGAACATGATGATAGTTCAGGATTTGACCGTCTGAAGGAAAGAACGAGTCCAGCAGAGGAGGGAACATAAAATGCCACGCCCAGACAGAAACAGGACTAATTGTAAAGAGAGCATTAAAGGCTCTGAAGTCTGAAATAGTGAAGATCAGCTGTCAGGTTCAGGGAAAGGCTAACAGGAGAGCAGTAATGAAGAATAAAGTCTGTGCTGTGGTTCTTAGTTTGAGGGGTTATGGAGTGGGGGTAGTAACAGAGCCGAGACTTGTATTTGGACTGCAGTACCCATTTTAACCACAAGTTGTCATGGTTACATATTGCTCCTGTGAATCTAGTTTGCATGTCTTAGAAGGAGAGGGAAGAAGTACTGGTGTAGTACTCAAAATTGGTTTTGGTCTGGAGACCACTTTGTAAAGGTCTCGATCTCAGACTGGGCAGTTCTGGATTTTAAATCAAGACCACCACTGATCGGCTATTTCTCCACTTCATCACTGAGATTAGAAGGAAAACTCCTCTTTCTAGGAGAACATGTCACTTCAATTCATTTGTAGTTTGATTTTTATCGCCTGGTTACAGCAGCTACCTTCCTGGTGTTACGGTCTAACTGAGGGACACGGCCCCTGCACACAAGATGATGATTATTATGTCAGAGATAGTTATGATCATGGTCTCGTCCTGTCTTGGTCTTTACTCAGTCTCGATCCCTAAATGTCTTGGTCTTTACTCAGTCTTGATCCCTAAATGTCTTGGTGTTTACTCAGTCTTGATCCCTAAATGTCTTGGTCTTTACTCAGTCTTGATACCTAAATGTCTTGGTGTTTACTCAGTCTTGATCCCTAAATGTCTTGGTCTTTACTCAGTCTTGATCCCTAAATGTCTTGGTCTCGCCCTGCCTTGGTCTTGGTCTTGTCTCGGTCTATTTGCCTCCTGGTCTTGAGTACGTCTTGGTCTCGGTTATTGTGGTCTTGACTACAACTCTAGGAAGTATAAACATGTTAAACCCCGCCCTTTCTGATGCCCACAAATAAAGTTCCATAATTCCCCTTTAATTAAATAATTTTTATTAATGAAATAACTTAAATTTTGTCTTTTTAATCTCTCAGAGATTCATCCGTGTTTTCATATTTCTTCTCTTCAGATTCTGCTGGTGTCGGATTATTTCTACGCCTTCTTGAGGCGGGAGCATCATCTCACCTACGGACTGTACCTGAAGAGGAAAGACGGCTCAGAGGCCACGCTGGTCCTGAAATAAAACGCCTGCTCTACCCCACACACACACACACACACACACATACACACACACACACACACACACACACACACCTGTCTGACAGTCGGAGCAGAAACAAACAGCTGGAGGTCTGATGTATCCTCAAAGGGATCAAACACAGACTGAGGAGGGTCAAAGACCTTCAGAGACACATCGGGACGTGCGTATCCGATACGACGATTTACGCAAACCGTGAGTCACAACACGACAGACACCTGCAGAGCCGGGACGCAGACATGTGCTCTCGTTTTACGGGGATTCTTTTGAAGCCTTTTTCCTCCTGACAGACTCTCTAGCAGACGTTGGCCTTGCTCACTGGAAAGCTCCGCCCCCTCACACACTTTCATCATGTTGTTTTATGTTTGTGTTGAAGCTGATTTATAAAAGACGGGACTGAGAGGGAAGTCATGTTTTATGGTTCTTATGGAAGCCTAAAGATGCTTGTTTGTCTCACCATTTCCTGCCGAGTTTTCAGTCTGATCCTGAATGGAGGAATCCCAGATTATCTGTGTTTAATCTCAGATGATGTTTATAAACTCAGACATCGTCCTGACGAGTGGAAGCTTCAGGTGCCTGAAAACACTCAAACACTGACAGAGACAACAGTGAATGTGTTTAAAAAACTAACGTCCAGGATGTGTGGAGAGGAAGATAGTGAAAAATTCTGATACTTTTAGGTACTACATGTTTTTCTCTATGCTAAACTAAGCTAACTAGCTTCTTCCTGGGCTACATATTTAACATAGAAACATAAAGTGGTTTAATCTTCTCATCTTTGTTTCTGCTGTAAGGAGCATAACTACCCAAAACTTTGACTTCAACTGGAAAACTAATGATTTATAATGTTTGGACCGAGCCAGGCTAGCTGTTTCTCCTGTTTCCAGTCTATATGCTAAGCTAAGCTAACTAGCTTCTTACTGGGCTACATATTTACCGTAGAAACATAAAAATGGTCTTCACCTTCTCGTCTTTCTTTTTGGTTGGACTGGAAAACAAACGATGGAATTTATAATATTTAGACTGAGCCAAGCTAGCAGTTTGATGCTATAATGTATGCTAAGCTAAGAAGCTGCTGCATGTACATTCAAATTTAACATGAGATATCAGTCACCCATTTGGAGACATATGTTTTTCCCAAAGACGGCCAATGAACAATGTGACACAAAAAGCAGCAATAACACGTCCTGATTCAACACTAACCATGCTACATGCTAACAGGATACAGTTTTAGCTTTAGCCTAACAAGAAACCTCAACATCCTTTTTTTGCTTTACAGTAAATATTAAAATACATAATTGATTAAAAATGTCTTTCTATAAGGGATATGAGAATGTTTTGTTCTCTTGGCCGTTTTGGACGCCCCTCAGTTTGCCAGATATGAGAGCAGTTATCAGACCAAACAGGTGTTCCAGCGATGGAAGCGAGCAAGAGAACTGGTTCAGATAGAAGTGATTGTACCCGACCTAAAAAGCCTCTGCATGTTTCTAATAAGCGCCACGAGCAGAAACGTGCTCAAACTAGGATCAATATTGGAGATGCTTTTGAAAAATGGAGAGAGGTTAGAACACAGAAAGGTTTACAGACCGATGCAGAGCTGGCTAAACACTGAAGCTCTCTACTGTTTAGAATGTGGACTACAGTACCCATCTTCAACACTAGGGGGTCACAGTTACAGATTGCTCCTTTAAGTTTTTATTCCGTTCTTAATTCTTGCCTTAAACTGCCTCCCAAATGTTGCGACTCTCATATGAAGATTAATGAATCCTTTTGTTATGATATGAAGTCTACAGATGAATGTTTTTGTTCCTCTGAAGATTTGAGCGAAAAAAACTAATGTCTGAATTAAAGAGCCAAACGTTCATTAAAGTGTAAAACTGGGACTAGAAGAACTATCAGACATCTTTATTCGGTTTAAGTTTATTTTCAAACTTAATCCATGATTTTTTCACACGGTTTCCATTTGAACCATTTGTGATATTTATTTATTTGCAGCACTAAATACTTTTCAGAGAGTTTTTGTTTCTGTTATTTTTTAAATCTTTATTTGTGGGGGAGAAGAAGCTCTTCTGTTCTCTTTTGATATGTCTGTACATATTTCAGGTGTTTGGTTTGAAAGGGCTGACGTGATATTTAATGAATGAGTGAACATGTTCTACATCATGATGATTAAACTTCAGGTGTTCATTATTTCTGTCTGTTTGTAAGATTTCATCGACAAATATCTTCTATTAAAACACAAGACCTGACAGGAAATCCTGCAGAGATTCTGAAGTCCCAAAAGGTTTTTAAAAAAGGATCTTGTGTGCACAAACATCTTTGAAAATAAATTCACTAACACACACTCATCGCCTTCAGAAAATTGGACCCGTTCATGTTTTATCCTTTGCTTCCTTGACTTCCTCTCTCAGTGTTCAGGACCTGACGTCAACTACACTTAATCAACACACACAGACATGTATACACAAAAAACGAATTTATTCTCATTACGAACATGTAAACAGAAAAACGTACACTGAAGAAAACTGGAGCATACCAACTCCATACACGCTCAAAGCTAAACGTAAACATTGCTGCAGATGTTCAGAACAAACACAAACATCCGTACGCTGCAGGAGGTTACACACATTTGTGTCACTTCTATTTATATTATTCGTGACACCTAGCTCTTATTCTTCACTTAAAAATACATTTTCATGAGAGCAAGGTTTTTATTTTTTTACTTTTTGGGGCTCCGTAGAATCCGTCCAGAAACCAGGATTACAATGAAGTGGTTTTAAAATATTTGTTTTTTAATTCATTCATTTCCTAATAAACAGCTTTAACTTGTCAAATGTTTTTATTTAATTTAAAAGATGAGTTTACTTCAGATGCTGTGACACTTTTTCCAAAGGCAGTTGTTATGAACTCAAGCGGAGTTGAAAGCGTCGCAGATTTTCCCGGGAAAAAAATACTACGTCACATTCCCGCCCCCTGCGCCAACGAAGGAACGCGACATGCAGGTGCGTTTGTTTTTCCTACCTGCACCGCTCAGTTCAATCAAAAGAGCTTTATCGGTATGGGAAACATTATTATATTTACATAAAGAAAGTATTAATTATAAAAAACTTTATATTTGGGATTAAGAAACGGAGCTGCAAAACATTCTAATGTACATATGAATGTGTTTTTAACTTAAAAATACAAAATAAAACAGTGAATTGGTTCTCAATATAAAGTACGGAAGCCCTAAGAGGACACACAGCTATTTTACTCGGTTTTTCCGTGGTGATGGGAACAATTAGGTTGTTTTGTTGAGATCTCATTATCATGAAATGCCATTATTGCTGCAGAATATCACAAGTTTCCTCGTGATATTTAATTCAGCTTCTTTTCACGGGATGAAACTCGTGTTATCTCGGGGAAACCAGCATTGTTATCAACAGATAAAAGAAACGACATCTTTGGAAAACCACAGAAATGAACTTGTTATCATCTGAAAACGGAATTAAATAAATGTTTTGACACATGACTGCTAATAATAAGCAGATGACAATGGAAAAGTTGGATTTAAAGTTTTATAACAAGATAATTAAACATTAAAATTATAAATATTCTTTATCACGAAAAGTCAAAAATATAAAATGTTGAAAGTTGTTTTCCATCTTGTGTCGACTCCAGTTTGTGGTAATTTCACCACTTTCACTCTTTGTTTCAGCCGCCACATTGTTTTACAAGTTGGATTTAAAGTTTTATAACAAAATAATTAAACATTAAAATTATAAATATTCTTTATCACGAAAAGTTTAAAAATATAAAAACATCGATGTCTCCGCCGCAGAAAGTGAACGAGCTCAGCTGTTCATCAAATCAAACACGCTTCCCCTAAAACCCCGCCTCCTTATAAACAACCGACCAATCGAGAGGCATAACGTCACTGACGGGTTTTGAATATTCATCACTTTTCGCGGGCTTTCAGCGTCACGTGGTCCTTTCGCGGGAAAAGAGAGTTGAGGCAGGAAGGAGAAGAACGTTTCTTCACGAGCGGCGGACAGAGACAGAACACAACAATGGCGGTGAGTGAAAACAGCCAAAAAACGCGATAAAATGTCGGATTCTCGGGTTTAATGTTTCTGCTGAAGGAGGGAGAAGTTAAATAAAGTTTATTTTATCATTTAGTTGAAGTTTCTTACTGTTTTTATTAGTTTGACATCAGTCAGAAACACAACAATGACGGACAGGAGCAGAGTCAGAATCAGAATAAAGTGGAATAAAGACTAATTTTAACTCTTTTTTTTAATGATTAATCGTGATATATTTCTAAAACAGTCATGTTTGCACTAAATAAGTTTATATGATCATTAATAATCAGATGTATTGGAACTGTTTCTGTCCTGCCATGTGGCTCTGGAGCTGTTTGTCACTAAATGTAAAATATTCAACAGATTAAGATCGTGAAAGTAAAATCTAACAAACTGAAGAAAGAGTTTAAAACACTGAACACCTGTTGTGTCTTTGTTTGAACATCTGGTCCTGCTGTCTGCACAGTTTTATACATCATAATATTCTGCACTAATTCATCATAATATCTCATCTTTAAGCTTCATTTTAATATTTCTGACCATCAGGAAGTTTCTGTCTTGTATAAATGGTTTTAATGGTTTTTCACCACATGGCCTGAAGTCTGTCTCTGGTAGGGCTGTACATCTTCACCGATCTCGCTCACCTGTCAGATGCATCCTCTGTTTTTTTTATATCACAGCACATGGCTACTTCATTGAAGACGAGCAGTCAGATAATCGACAGTATGATTTCAGGAAGTAAAAATCTCGTTCATTTTCTCCATAGTGGATTTGATTATTCGTCATGATGTCATAACCATCACAGGTAGATTGACCACGAGCTACCTGAGTGTGAAACGATGGTTCATGTTCCTGTAGGAGACACAAGTTCGTCTGATATCCACTTTAAGAACAACACGGTTTATTCACAATATCGGGTAGAAGAACTACACTACTCACGGTCATAGTGTCACAGCGACGTCTCTGATTGGTGGAGCTGGCTGTTACCATGGCAATGTTTCCCGCCCCCTCTGTACCGATAGTTTCGCTAGCTAGTTAGTTAGCCAACACAGAATGTAAATAACCTTGTCATTTTTTGATTCTTGTTTTGTACAGGATTCCTCCGAGTCGTTCCACATGGCCACCAGCCCAAGCCGAGCCTCCAGGAGGGAGACATGACCTCCAGCCCTGGACGAGACTTGCCCCCATTCGAGGACGAGTCTGAGGGTCTGCTGGGGGATGTGACGCTGCCCGGGAGGAGGAGGAGGACGGAGACGGAGAGGAGCTGATCGGTGACGGGATGGAGAGGTGAGGACGGCGGCGGGATTTAATCTGAAGGTTTGATTTTGGATGTGTTTGGGATGTGTCACTCTCTCGTCTCTGTGCTCAGGGATTACCGAGCCATCCCGGCCCTGGATCAGTATGAGGCCGAGGGTCTGGACCTGGACGATGAAGATCTGTCGGAGCTGTCGCCTGGCGCTCGAGCCGCCGCTGAGGAGGCGATGAGTAGGAGAGACAGGGAGCAGGGAGTGAGCGGGAGGCTGAGGAGAGGACTGCTCTACGGTGAGGAGGAGGAGGATTCAGACCATCGCTCCACATTTAATTGTAAATATTTATGTAAAGGAGGGTTAATAACGAGTCCTGTCTGAACGTGTTTCAGACAGCGAAGACGAGGATGACGAGCGCCCGGCGGCTCGGCGAAGGCGATTGGCCGAGCGTGCAGCAGAGGGCGTGGCTGACGGAGAGGAAGAGGAGATGATTGAGAGCATCGAGAACCTGGAGGACATGAAGGTTTGAGAAGCTGCTGTTGGATTCATAAACGTCCTGAGAAGCGTTAACGGGGTGGCCGTGGTCGGGTTCTGACTGTGTTTCTCTCTCGCCCTGCAGGGTCACACGGTGAGGGAGTGGGTGTCCATGGCGGCTCCACGACTCGAGATCTACAACCGCTTCAAGAACTTCCTGCGGACGCACGTCGACGAGAACGGACACAACGTGTTCAAGGAGAAGATCAGCGACATGTGCAAAGGTAGAGGACCTGGAGGGCGTCGTGGTTACACTGATTCATAACGATGTGTTCGTGTGGTCGCGATACTGTTTGACGCCACACGTGTAGATCTTTTGGTTAATAATCTCTGCGGCGAGTTCTGGATCTACCTCGTGGTCTCCTCCACGTCTAAAATGCAGCTTCAGATCTCGTCGTTAATCAAATAAGAGAAACGTGTGTGTGTGTTTTCTGGTTGTTGATGCTTCCTGTGTGT